AAAGAAAGAGTGACATACAAGAACAACACCAGTATTTATGTAAAACAGTTCTATTTTCTTGGTAATTAGTACTCATATTTCATGATATGACAATTTAAAAGTAAAATTTAGCTGCACATATTTAAAGATAAAGAATATTAACATAAGAGATACAAAGATTCCCCAAATTCTATTTCTACATTTTTTATTTCTTTGTAAACATATCAAATTGTCAACAACACCAGTTAAATTTCATTATAATGAATACTGGACATTTTCAGGCTTATCTAAACAGTTAAAAAATATGGTTACTAATATTGTTTTTATGGTGAAAATATTAAACTTTGTTAAATGTTGATTTGAGAAGTGTATTCTCACCAACACACTGAGGAAGTTGGGTCCACGATCCATTCCTACATGTAACTGATCTGTGTCCAACCATTGTAAATGTTTCTGTGCAATTGAATTCCACTGAATATCCATGGTAATAGAGAGGGGAAGAAGACTGGACATAACCATTGTCAAGTTCAGGTATATCTCCACATGTACTCTCATCCTCTATATGAATGTCAAAAATACATTTATTGTTGAAACAATTTACATGTTTATACAAATACAAAAAAGTGTTAATTGAAGTTTAAACATTAGTATTTTTATACATTACCAACACATATTGGCAAGGTTGTCCACTTTCCATCAACACATTGAATTTTACTAATCCCCTTCATCAGAAAATTAGGATTGCAATCATATTCCACCACTTCACTGTGTACATACTCTGTTTTCTTTATTCCCTTAAATTCTCCATTGTTGAGTTGAGGGGGTGGACCACAGAATAGTGCTTGCTCTACAGTAGAAATACTATGTAATTAATGGTTAAATTATCTATTTTGTAATTTAAAAACCCAGTGAAACTCAGTATTCTTAAATAATAAAAAAAAAGTTGTTTGTACCAGATTTAGAGATGATGTATATAGAAATAGTATATTTAAAATTAGAAGCATATTTAAAATTTTCAAATATGTTCAGTAGTCTGATATTCAAGATGCATATACATAGAATAGCAAATATGCTTACAAAAGTTATGTTAATTTTCATAATACATGGAAACATTCTATCATAAATTTTTGAAAATGTACAACCACTAAGACAAGCATTTGATCAATGTATTTCAAATTTATTAAGAGATAAATGGAAATGAACGTACGATAAGCCAGTTACATATTATTTAGATGTACTCAATGAAACTTGAGTAAAGCCCAGGCTATATTTAATGTCCAGTAAGTAATGGTGGCATTGTAGGCAAATGAAAAGTAACAAAAGAAGTCCTTTCAAGTTAAGCCACAGCTATTGTTTTGATGTTTGTTCCCTCCAAATATTCTGCTGAAATTTGATCCCCAGTGATAGAGGTGGAGGCTAATGGACGATGTTTGGGAATAAACGTGGATCTCTCATGAATAGACTAATGCTCTCCCTTAGAGTGAGTTTTCACTCTATTAGTTCCCATGAACTAACTACTTACAAAAGCCTGGCTACCCCCACCACACCCCACCCCTGCTTCCTCTCATCATGTGATCCCTATACATAGCAGCTCTCCTCCCTTTTCACCAGGAGTGGCAGTAGTCTGAAGCTTAGAGACAGATGCCCAACCTTGAACTCTACAGTCATTGGAATCATGAGCCAAATGAAACTTTTTTATAAATTATCCAACCTCAAATATTCTCTTATAGTAACACAAAACAGACTAAGACAGCCAGCATATATGTAGCTATGAATACTTCCAATATATATATTTTAGGAAACAATTGAAGATTAACTTAAATAAGAAAACTTGAGGTATCTGCCCCCAAAACATTTCCTTCACAGGTATGTCTCTCACTAGTGCATTATATTATAGATACTGGAAGCTCATTGAAAATTAAAAGAAGAAATACATGTTAGTATTCAAAATTCTAAGTCATGTTTCAGCAGTTTTAAGATAAATATTCACCTTTACACGTTGGGATGTTAGGTGACCATTCAAAGTGGTAGCACTGAACTGAATCTGGTCCAACTCTTGTAAATCCTGGTTTGCAGGAGAATCTCACCACATCTCCAATTTTATAACTGTCTAGCTTGGGATTAGGAACTAAGTGTGCATCTATTGTAGGAAGCCGGCATTCTTTTTCTAAAAGAAAGAAGTAGAGTAATTTAATGAGAATGTATGATAAATCATTGCCAAAGTGAATATTATATGCCAAGTAAAAGTGAGGTATGTGCTGGTTGATTCAGATACAGGGGGCCATTATATAAACATTTTTACTTAAAATAATTCTGCCTACTATGTTTTATCCACTCTAATTTCATATGAACTGTGAGAAATAAACAGTATTAAACAGCAATATAGCTGTCCTAAAAATTAATTTCTAAATTCAACCTGTTCAAACTGAATCTAGTTTTAATAACTGACATGTATAAATTTCATTGTTATATTTTTTGTACTCAAAGCATAAAGTTATTCTGTTAATTAAAAAAAGAATGCTTTACATGAAAATTGGTATTTCTTTTTAATGTAATTCAGGAAACAGAACATACAGTTTTCACCCTTTTCTTTTCTTCTATAATATGTATGTGTTTCTTGACATCCTGAATGAATCAAACTACACCCTCAACCCTGCTAATTAAAGCCTAGCTTGCATCTGTCCTAAACAGTCTCTTCTCTGTCTGCTTTCATATTCTTCCTAGTGATTCTCCTCATCCATCTCCCATGCTCTATTCAATTTCAGATCACCTGGTCTACTACTTCGAAATAGAAATCATCAGTTTAGACTTATATAATAATTTTCCTTTCTTTCTCCTTTTAGAAAGCTGTAAGTGGTCTGATTGCCACCAATGCCTAATATCTCCACCCAAACGCTGTGACTCCTTCCTCTCCCATTTCCTCAGAGATCTATGTAATTCATATACTCATTCTCTGCAGCTTCTCTCTGCAATATCCCCTACAGCTTTCAGTAGGCTATCTTCCATCATTGAAAAAAAAAATCATCCTTTAAGTATCTTAATTCCTGTGGTAATATTTTGAACTTTCTATTTGCTACACAGGCAGACAATTGAAAAAGTTATGTCCACACTTCTTATTTGATATATATACACATACATACATACATATATACATACATACATATATATACATATGTATATATATACATATACATCATTAGGTTACATTGATTGCAGTTTTTAGGTAAAGTCCCTGTTATAATTGTGTCTGACCCCCAAGAGGTGTGACTCAATGCACTGTGACTCCCACATTCCCCACCCTCTTCCCCTTCCCCAGTCCCTTATTTTCCTACCCTACCCCTTGTATTAGCTCATCTACTGCCTTCATATTAGAATTGAGTACTTTAGATCTTGCTTCTCCATTCTTGTGACACTTTACTAAGAAGGATGTGTTTCATCTCTATCCAAGTTAATACAAAAAAATGTAAAGTCTCCATGTTTTTCAATGGCAGAATAGTATTCCATGGTATACATATACCACAGCTTGTTAATCCATTTCTGGGCATTTAGGTTATTTCCACATTTTGGTGATTATAAATTGAGCTGAGATAAATAGACTAGGGCAAATGTCCTTATAATAAAAGGATTTCTTTTTCTTCTAGGTAGATGCCTAGTAATGGGATTGCAGGATCAAAAGGGAAGTCTAATGCAGTTCTTTGAGGATTCTCCATACTAATACAAAAAGGTTATATTAGTTTGCAGTCCCACCAGCAGTGTAAAAGTGTTCCCTTCTCTACACATTCACACCAGCATCTGCAGCTTTGAGACTCTGATGTGGGCCATTCTCATTGGGGTTAGGTGATATCTCAGGGTGGTTTTGATTTGCATTTTTCTGATGAGCAGGGACAATGAGCATTTTTTCATATGTTTATTAGCCATTCATCTGTCTTCTTTAGAGAAAGATATATTCATGTCTTTTGTCCAGTGATATATGGGATTGTTGCGTCTTATTGTGTTGATTAATTTAAATTCTTCATAGATCCTAGTTATCAACCTTTTGTCCAATTCATAATATGCAAATATTTTTTCCCATTTAAGGCTGTCTGTTTGCTTTGGTTATTAATTCCTTAGATATACAGAAGCTTTTTGGTTTAATTAAGTCTCATCTGTTTTTGTTGTTGTTGCAATTGCCTATAAGTCTTCTTTATAAAATCTTTCCACAGGCCAATATCTTCAAGTGTTTTCCCATTCTATCTTTGAGGATTTTTATTGTTTCATGCTTTACATTTAAATCTTTTATCCATCTGAATCAATTTTTGTAACTAAGTTGCAAGACGTACAGGTCCAGTTTCAGTCTTTTGCATGTGGTTTTCGAGTTCTTCCAACACCATTTATTGAATAGGGATTCTTTCCCCCACTGTATGTTCTTATTTGGTTTATCAAAGATCAGGTCGCTATAAGAGGTTAGTTTCATCTCATGTTTTCCATTCAATTTCAGATGTCTATATTTGTGTGCTAATGCCATGCTGTTTTGATCACTATGGCCATGTAGTACAGCCTAAAGTCTGGTAGGGTGATACCCCCAGATTTGTTTTTATTACTAAGAATTGCCTTGGCTATACTGTGTTTCTTCTGGTTCCAACTAAGAAAATAATTATTTTTTCCAAATCTTGAAAGTATGATCATGGTGTTATAATGGGGATTGCATTGAATCTGTACATTGCTTTGGGAGGTATAGACATTTTGACAATGTTGATTCTTTCGACCCATAAACATGGTATGTTCTTCCATTTGTTAATACTTTCTGCTATTTCTTTTTCTTAGGGTTTTGTAATTTTCTCTGTAGAGTTCCTTTGCCTCTTTGATCAAATGTATATATATATACATATATATATATGTATATATATATGCCTAGGTATTTCATTATTTTTAAGCTACTGTAAAGAGAATTGTTGACTTTGATTAGCTTTTCATCTTGGCTGTTATTGGCATATACAAAGGTTACACATTTATGGACATTGATTTTATATCCTGCAATAATGCTGTATTTTTTGATCACTTCTAGGAGTCTTGAGGTTGAGTCTTTGGGGTTCTCTAAGTATAAGATCACATTATCAGCAAAGAGTGAGAGTTTGACCTCTTCTGCTACCCTTGGATAACTTTTATTACATTCTCTTGCCTGATAGTATTGGTTAGAACTCCCAGCACTATGTTGAACAGTAGTAGAGAAAGAGGACAACCTTGTCTGGCATCAGTTCTAGGTAGAAAAGCTTTCAGTTTTACCCCATTTAGTAAAATATTAGCTGTGGGTTTTTCGTAGATGGTTTCAATTGGATTAAGAATTATGGCACCTATTTCTATATTCTGAAGTGTTCTAATTAGAAAAGGATGCTGAATTTTATTGAATGTTTTTCCCTCATTGATTGAGACTATCATATGGTCTTTGTTTTTGCTTTTGTTGATTTGGTCAATTACATTTATGGACTTGCGTACATTAAACCAGCCTTGCATTCCTGGAATGAAACCCACTTGACCATGATGAATGATTTTTTTTTTTAATGTGTAGCTATAATATATTGACTAGGATTTTGTTGAAAATTTTTGCATCTGTATTCATTAATGAAATTTGTCTGAAGTTCTTTTTAGTTTGGTCTTCTTGGTTTTGGTGTCAGGGTGATATTTGCTTACGAGAACATGTTAAGGAAGATTCCTTCTTCCTCAATTTTTTTGAATAATTTCTGCAGTATGGGAATAAGCTCTTCTTTGAAGATTTGATAGAATTCTGCTGTGAAACCATATGAACCAGGGCATTTCTTCGTTGGGAGATTTTTAATTGTTTCTTTGATCTCAATTTTTGAAATTGGTCTCTTCAAGAGATCTATTTCTTCTTGGTTACTTCTAGGGAGAGGATGTGATTCTAGGGATGGATCCATTTCCTCTACATTGCCAAATTTCTGGGCATAAAGATTCTTGTAGTTCTCAGAGATGATCTTTCTATCTCTATGGCTTCTGTTGTTATTTCCTCTTTATCATTTCTGATTGAGGTTATTAGAGATTTTACATTCCTGTTTCTAGTTAATCTGGACAAAGTTTTATTAATTTTATTTATTTTTTGTAAAACCAACTTTTTGTTTCACTAATTTTCCGAATGATTTGTTTTCAATTTCATGAATCTCTAATCTAATTTTTGTTATTTCTTTTCTTCTGGGTTTGGGATTAGATTGTTCTTCTTTTTCCATTTCCGTAAGATGGTTCATGAGTTTTTTCATGTGCTCTCTATCTATTTCTTGAATGTGGGGCATGTAATATGATACATTTCCCTCTTAAGTCTATTTTTGCTGTATCCCACAGGTTTTGGTAACTTGTGACTTCGTTGTTGTTATGTTTGAGAAATTTAATGACTTCCCATTTTATCTCTTCCTGAACCCAACTATCATTCAGCATAAGGTTGTTTAATGTCCAAGACAATGTGTGGGGATGAATGTTTGTGTTGGAGTTGAGTTCCACCTTTATTGCCTTGTGATCTGAGAAGATACAAGGTATAATTTCTATTCTTCTAATTTTGTTGAAGTTTATTTGTATCCTAGGATGTATTCTATTTTGGAGTATGTACCATGGACTGATGAGAAAAATGTATATTCTTTAGCTTTGGGATGTTCTGTTCTGTATATGTCTATTAATCTCATTTGTTGTAGAGTCATGTTTAAGTCTTTTGTATGTTTGTTTAGATTTCATTCTGTCTAGTTCTGTCAGATAGGTATTACAGTCCCGTGATATTATGGTGTTATGAGAATTCATATTGCTCAGACCCATCAAATCCTGTTTCACAAGTCTGTGATCATTAATGTTGGGTACATAATTATTTAAAATTGAAATATCATCTTGCTGTATTGTTCCTTTGACCAGTATAAAGTGTCCATCTTTGTCTGTTTAAATTTTAGTTGCTTTAAATCTGCTTGTATCTGAAAATAAGATTGCAACCCCCTCCTTTCTTCTGAAATCCATTTGCTTGAACCACTGTTTTCCATCCCTTAACCTTGAGTGTTGATTTGTTCCTCAAGGCTAGGTGTGTCTCTTGGAGACAGCATATGGATAGTGTGTGCTTTTTTTATCCAATCAAACAGCCTGTGCCTCTTCAAAGGTGAATTAAGTCCATTGACATTTATTGAGTGAAGTGGTAAGTGTGGTGGAGTTCTCTATTCATCTTATTTTGTGAAAGTCCTTTGTGTAGTTTCATCCTTTGCACCACTGTGGAAGCTAAGTTTTGACCTATAGCTTCTGGGTGTTTACTTTGCTAGTGGTTCATTGTGATGGTCAATGTTGAGAATAGGTCTAATTATTTCCTGTAGAGCTAGTCTTACTGTGGCAAATTTCGTGAGTGTATATCTGCAAAAGATTTAATTTCCCCATCAATTTTGAAGCTTAGTTTAGTAGGATACAGAATTCTGGAATGAAAATTGTTTTGTTAAGAATGTTGAAGGTGGATGATCATACTCTTAGGGCTTAGAAAGTTTCAGTTGAAATGTCTGCTGTCATCCTAATTGCTCTTCCTCTGTAGGTCACTTACCACCTATTCCTGGCTGTTTGCAGAATTTTTTCTTTCATCTTGACTTTGGACAGGTTTATTACAATTTGTCTTGGAGAAGCTCTGTTTGAGTTCAGATGACTAGGGTTCAATATCCATCTGAAAGGAGTGTGTCAGGGTCTTTATTAAAACTTAGGAAGGTTTCATTTATGGTAGTCTCTAGTCTCTTCCATTCCTTTTGGACAATTTTCTTCTCCTTCAAGAATCCCTATTATTCATACGTTTGAACATTTCATGGAATCTTGTAGTTCTCTAAGCCTCTGTTCTGCTTTCTCTCTATTCCTTTCTGTGTCTTTACCTACCTGGGTTAACTTGAAAACTTTATCTGCTAGCTCTGAAGTTCTTTCTTCTCCATGATTTAACCTATTTTTGATACTCTCTACTGCATCTTTACGTTCCCTGATTGTCTCCTTCATTTCCTTAAGCTCTGCCATATCCTTTCTATATTCTACACATCTCTCTTCTGATTTTTCATTCTGTCTTTCCATTTTCTTCCATTTTCTAGTTCATTCCTTTTATTGTCTTTATCATCCATATTTTAAATTCCCTTTTTGTAAAATTCATTAATTCTTTCTGGGTGGAGCTTTCTGCAGTAGCTGCCTCATGGTCCCTTGGGGGAGTTGCTCTGTTTTGGTTTTTCATGTTGCCCAAATTTTTATGTTGATTATTCCTCATGTGTTCTATCTTCTTGTTCACTCCCTTTTCCTCCTTTTTCCTTCTCACTTCCTCCTTTGTTTCAAATTACTTTGTCTCAGAGCTTAGGTCTGGAAGTGGCCTTAGCCTGAGCAAAATTAAACTCTTCCTTGTGGTCAACAAAATAAGAGCTCTTGCTTTTGATGACAATCTGTTGCAATATGTCTACAGGACACCAGGTGTCATTATGGGTTTTTTTAATAAGAGAGAGAAGACAGGCAGCAACCTCTATGGTCCATATGCCTAACTTAGTTGCCTTCAGTGATCAACTGATTGTTTCCTCAGTGTTCAGATCCTGGCAGATTGGGATCTTAAAGCTGAATTTGTTAGGGACAGATCTCACAGTGCCCTCTGAATCCAAGGGGTTCACCACCAGCTCCCAAGGGGTGCAGCAATCCCTCAGCCTGTCCCAAGAGTGGAGTTCTGAGCCTGGCTGGTGGAATTAAGACAGCTAGGCTTTAGGACCCTGCTAGGACCTTCTCATGACCTTCCTACAATGGCAGCCCCCTGGCAACAAAGACTTTGTCAGTATGGTTGTCTCACTAGCCACTAAACCAATGGCAAATACACTCCAACCAGTATTTAAATCTGGTTGCTGTATACTGTTCATATCTGCCAATCTTCCAAGCTTTCCACTCAATGCACAGCTTCCCTCCAACAACTGAAAACTCTAGAAGGGCTTCCTCCCATCCTGGACCACAGGTGAGCCCCGCAGATCCCAGCTGGTCACAATCACTTGCCTAATTCATAAGATTTGCACCACTCTAGATCTTATGTTGTATCTAACTTACCCCCTTCCACCTCAGTTACAACTATGGGTAAGGTCCTATGCCAGCTATGGCTAGGTTCTTTCTTTTTCCCCTGTCATTCTAGGAGAGTTTAGCTGAACAATACTTCTGGTCTGCCATCTTGCCCTGACCTTTCCACATTTCTTAAAAGAGTTATATCCACACTTCTTGAAAGAGTCATAAAAATTTCAGAACTACAAATCAAATGATATCATTCCTTTCCTCAAAATGTTATTATGGGTTTTCATCCTTTGTAAAATGAATCCAAATGCTAACACACTCTGAACTAACCTGGATAATCATCTTTCTCCTATCTAGACTTAGCTCATAAACTTCTCAAATGTCATCACTAGAGTGTGCCCCACCATGATATTTCTCAAATAGACTGTTTTGTTTTCAAAGCTTTACACATACTATTTCTTTGGCTTAGAATACTTTACATACATTTATTTTCTCACATATATAAAACTTCTTCTATTCATGGAAAACAAATGGTTGACTGGCAAGCCTAAGAGAGATTCCATAGAACTTCCTAAAGTTAGAAAGTAATAGCTACACTCAAGAAATACAGAAATTAACATTCAAGGTAGAGGTATAAAGCAGAAATTTAGGAACAAAATAGCTGAGGAATAACAAACTATAATTTTGGTGTGTTCACTTCTAAATAATTCAAAAACTTGCATATAGGATAACTAAACAATTATACTTTAATCCTAAGGCTCACAGGAAACATTAATTTAATGTACTCTTTTAAAGATCAATGTTTTCTTTAGGTTTTAAAATACCCTCTGCAAGGGTAGCTAAGATCAGGAGATATCTTGATTTTAATCATCTTCCCTTAAAAATGTCTCTAAACAATTCAAATTTTAAAAATGGGACACATATAGATTTATTTTTACCCTAAAGAAAGTATCACTGGAAAAACAGTACTTACCATAACAGGTTGGTGTATCAGACCAACCATGGTATTCACATACTATGGAGCCTGTGGTAGCTTTGTATTTGTTTTCATATCTTTCATCACATTCATAATCCAAGACATCATTGAGCTTAAACCATGTTCTGTTAATTTTGGCTCTGGCATTTGTAAATGCTGGCTTATCACAAGATTCTAGAACATAATAAAATCGAGAATCTAATTTCTACCCTAATTTAATGTACAGTCTAAGTGATTCCAATTCCAATAAAAGATTTATTGATTTATATGTATTACACTAATAAATTAAGTACTGTATAAAAATGATTTAAGAATACTACTTATAAATTATTATCTTGCAATAAGTACTTAAAATAAGAAAAATGTTTCTATATAGCATTTTTTCATCACTTAAATGTTCTGAATAATTTATTTGGAGAGTATTTTTCTCAATTAAATTCTACTTAACATATATGAAATTAATAGTAATAAAAATGCCACTTTAGGTATATATTGCTTTGTTTTTAGTAAATCATAATAGTATTCTCCAAGTTAAAATGCAAGACTCATTAGTAGTTATATATAAAAGAGAAAAAAATTAATTGAATAAAAAGATCAATGCATATTTATAAGATATTTCTCTTACATAATAAGAATGACTTCTTATAAATAATAGATCAAAATTTAGTATATTTAATATGACATGAATTTTATATGAAGGAAAAATTTTTTTCTTCAGCTGAATTTAAGATTCAATGAGGGCAAACATTTCTTAAGTAGAGCTCATATTAACCATAGATTTTTTTCTTCTTCTTCGTCTTCTTCTTTTTTTTTTTTTTTTTTTTAGCAGTTTTGGCCAAGGCCAGGCTCAAACCCGCCACCCTTGGCATATGGGACTGGCACCCTACTTGTTAAGCAACAGGGACCGCCCCATATATTTCTTTCTAAGAAAGAGAGGAAAACTGTATGAATGGATATCTTAAATGTTCACACCACTTAAAGTGGTTGTGTTAAATATCGCTTCAAACATAATACTAAGTGGCTTTGGGAAAAATATCATAAACTAGGCAAATCATTCTTATAAAAGTTTTATACATAACTAGATAATATGGCATGGATATCTTTCAACACTGCAAAAACAGGTAGCATCTAGAAACATTTCTCTCTCTTCACTACTTACGTATTTCTGAATATTTTCTAACAGAAAGGATATTCAGAAGTGGAGCTGTTTTACAGTGTCAAATATAAATTATAAAAGATAATGTATTATAAGATTATGCTTAATGGATCCATATCTCCACTGAATACTCTTATATACAAAGGCAAAGATTTTTATACTAAAAGATAATCACCTATAAATAGGTATATGTAAATGACATCAATTTCACAGATAAAACTAAATGAGTTTACATGAAAATGCACATAAAGTTTTCTAAACAGTTTGTAAATCAAAAGATGCTTTAAAGTGAAAAAAAAAAAAAAAGAATAAGAAAACTTAAATGGAAAGGTGGACTAATATCTAGTAGTTAATCTTAAAAAGGAAAAATATGTGTTTTTTTATCTTAAATATTTCTTTATATTTTCTGATAAAACCACATAAACATTTTCAAAAAGATAAAGTAAACTTTTCTATATCATCTGTATAATAATGACTAGCATAATAAATTACTTACTAATGCATGTGGGTTGTTCTGACCATCCATATTGCAGACATGTGATTAATCCTGATGTTTTACCAACTGCTGTTACATATCCTGGTTTACACTTATATTGTGTTTGTTTATTTAAGGGATATATAACCTGAGATTCAGAAATAAACCCATTCTCAATTTCTATTTCTGAACATGTTTCTAAACAGGAAAGATATAAGGAAAAGATAAGCATATGTTCAAAAACATTTTTATGAGAACTTAAATAACATGACAACCTAAAAAGTCATTCATTTGTAAGCAAAAATCCTAGATAATCACAGTCTTCTAACTTCTTACATCAAATAAAATAAATTAAGAGTTTCCAAAGTTATTATATCAAGACCTTTTATCTTTTTTTAATAAAGCTAGACTAAAAACACTTATAAGCCTGTCTGAGAGATTATAGAAATCTGTCTAATAAATCCAGGATGCTACAGTAAGCCACAAGTCAATAGTATGATCATTCATGGGAATTTTAAATCTTGCCTAGTTTGCATATTTTAGACTATCCCAGAACTCATGTAGCCCATTGGACTATATGACAGGAGGTGATAATCTTAGAAATTCTGGCAAAATAGCTGCCATAGACTTTGGACCAAGATTTTGAAATATCATTATTATTGTGTGCTTCAAAGCATAGGGATGCATGGAGTCCAAAGACACCAATGAAAAGCAACTGATTTATTTATCTTAGAAAGCCAAAATGATGATTCATCAATCAAATTAGGTATAACTTAACTTGAAATAGTAAAAGTTATTGTTTCTATAAACTGACAGTTAAAGTTACTATCAATTACTGGATTTTTCCTCAGAACTCAGATTCACATATAAACATCCATGGATAACTAGGAAATCAGAAGAGTGAATGTTAAATATTTTGAATTGAATGATAGCAAAACATATTTAAAATTTTGTGAGGTGACACTAAAGTAGTGCTAAGAGGGAAATATCATTAAACAGCCATTCCACAGGGAGAAGGAATATAAGTAGAATATGGCAGCCTTGATGACTAGAAGAAATAACAATGAGTGTTCTCAAATGCTGAAGTCACTAGAATTTGCAGAGTAGAGATAGAGAGCAAACCAGAAAGAAAATATTGAGTAGAAGAGCCTAGAAATTTGTGTAGTAATTCCTTAGATTCTTTGGCTGAATAGTGACACACTGCTGAATAGGTCAAAACTCAACGAGAATGGGTGGATGAAGAATAACTAACAGATGAAGAACAACTACTAGAGAATGAAACAGATTCCCAGAGCACACACAACACTAGGAGACATTCAAATTTGATTAGAGTGGAGAGATGCCTTTGAACATCCATATTTTTTAACAGAGACAACAGAAGAAGCTTTATTAATATTCTAAGCAACTAGCCCTAACATAAAGGCAGCCTTAATAATACTTAAGACATAAGACTTGAAAAGATCCAGTTGATCTATATATAACAAAGAGCTTTTTAAAACACAATTTAATACAAGTAATTCTAAAGGACTCCAACCACAAATACCAAAAGGTATAGACTTTAAAAGTTCCAAAATTATTTTTTTCTTAGTAAAAATCTAGGGAAGAAAAAAATGGCAATACTACTCTTCGCCTCCCCCCATACCTAATAAACATTTTGGGAAACTGCCCCCCCATCTCCAAAATAACATCAATGGATAAACCACATATCAAAATCTGTGGATTGACACTGAAGCAGTATGGAATAAGTTGATCTTACTAGATACCTAAATGGAAAAAACAGGGTTCTACTCTACTGACACTAGCTTCTACATAAGATATCAGGAAAAAATAGAAGTGAAACTAAATGTAAGCAGAATGAATAAAACAATAGCAAAGGTGAAATAATAAACTAAAAAAGTAAACATATATACAAATAATGAAATCAAAAGCTGGTTATTTAGAAGATATCTAAAATTGATAAACTTGGGGACTGGGCAAGATGGCCGAATGGAGCCAGTTTTCCACAGAGGTTCTCATCCAGAAGGAGAGATAAAGAACAGAAGGTTCTCAAGAAAGCTGCAGGTCAGGAGTTCACATCATCCCTACTGAGGAAAGCTGTGAATCCAGGGAAACAAATTACAGGTACAAAACCTATCACCAAGCGGACAAGAGACCCTTCCCCAAGAGAGCAGCTCGGTGTGCTTTCTACTAACAAGTGAGCAGTGTTGGCTCTCCCCTTATTTTATCCCAAGGGAGAGAGCCGCTGAACATCAGAACTCCTCCAGAGTCCACCTGTGAGCCTAGGCACTCTCTTGCCTCGTGTACAATTTAACAAATATTCTGCCTGCAATTCTGAACTCCTAGTCCCTCCTTCCCCTACAGGTCGGGAAGCCTGTCCCCTGTAAAGTCCAGCATGTTTCCCAATTCCTAGAATGGTCTGGGCATGAAGTGTGCCACTACAAATCTGAAACAGCTGCATGGGTTTAATTAGGGACTGCAGAGTAAAGAAGTCTCTGGGAGAGGGAGTTATGTGGCCCACATCAGAGTGCAGTGGCTGGGGTGGTGGCAGGGCTCGCAGTCTTGGTTAAATTTCGGAGAAGCACTTCCCATTTCTCTTGACCACCTGAGGGAGCCAGGCCTCAACCTTGGGGGCTGCCAGCACAGCACAGCTGGGACAGAAACACAGACTTGGTGAGCAGGGGGTGTTCCCTGCTGTGGTACCTGCACCTGGTGGGCGGGGCTGGGACAGACACACAGCCTTTGTGAATGCAAAATCCTCCTGGTGGAGGTACTTGCCTTTGGTGGAGTATTGTGGTACAGAAATACAGACCCCAATGAGGGTACATGCTAGGCGGTACACACCTGTGGTGGGGCAGGGCTGGGACAGAGGCACAGCCGCTATGACCACAAAGTACTTGTTGTGATAACAGTAATTGGCCGTCATGGAATGGGACTGGGACTTAGACATGGACTCCAAGAGTACCCACTACAGCAATATACGCTCACGGCATGGACTGGTACAGAGACACAGACTTGGTGAGGACAAAATATGCCTAGCAGTGGTACCCTCCCACAGACAATGGTGAACAAATTCCAGGACTGATGCTGTTGGTGCACTCCCTTAGGCTGTTGAGAACTGGAGGGAGCTGAGCTTTAGATACAGGAGGTTGCAGTACAGTGGGCAGGAGGCGCTGACTCCACCTTATCTCCCGCAGACCCATATCCCTGATGCTTTTGCCCACTGAAGGGAACCTGACCACAGCCCCATGGGGTTATTAGTGCCAGGGCAAGGCTACAGCATAAGGCAGGGAAGGGGGCACCAATCTCCCTTGCCTGACTCTTTGGCTGGGTGGGCCTTTCTGACCCCATTGAGCACCAAAGAGAGCCAAACTCCAGCCTATCGGGTTTCTGGGTCCAAGCTGCCTGTGGATCCCTACCATCAGGTTGCAGGACAATGTTTGAAATCACAGTTGAGCAGTGATTGTGCTGCCTGGGATAAATGGTTTGGAACTTTCCACCTGGGCTATCCACCTGGCAACCCTCTAAGGTTGAGCTGTGGTTGTATTGAATTTGGAGGGACTTATACTCTTGAAATTGTCATGAGAGGAGGCAGGGGATCTCAGTTACTGTATCTCCCTCTAACTGAGATTTCACACTAATTTTACAACTCAACAGTATTGGATAGAGGCTGGCTGACTATAAGATAGAGCCAGCTAGCCCTATCACATCAATTAGGTCCTCAGAGTCTCTCACTGCAGGTCTGACCTGGACCTTTGTAAAGCTGTAGGGAAAAAGCCACAATCACTAATGCCATCAATCTAGTAAAGGGCTACTTTACTATAATTCCCAGAACTCCCAATCCAATCACACTGTATTAGTTTTGATACCCAAACTGAGGAAAGTATTCATGGAACAGAACAAGAGGAAGAACTCCAGCAACAGGAATCAGAGTTGATCAACTCCCCCACGGAATTGCAAAAATGATATGTTAGAAGATGCCATTCATAAACAAATGCCCAAAATGTCAAAAATATAATTTAGAATATGAACGGCAAATAAGATGAACAAATTGGAGAATAAGATGGAAATCAAAATCCAAAGAATTGTACAAAAGTTGTATCAAGAAATCAATGAATTCAAAAACAAAATTACCAAGGATATGGACATAATGAGAAAGGAGATAGAAAAGCTCAAGGAAATGAAAAAATTATTTGAGGAGCTCCAAAATACAGTAGAATGCCTCAGTAATAGAGATGAGTAGGCCGAAGAAAGGATCTCTGAAATCAAAGAAAAAGCTTTGAATGTTCCAAAACCCTCAAAGAAGAGGCAGACAGATGGTGAGCAAACTGATCATTCCCTGATAGAGTTGTAGGACCACTCCAAAAGATCAAACATTCGTCTTATAGGAATTCCTGAAGAAGAGGATTGACCTAAATGTGTGGATGCTCTACTCTAAGATGTTATGGAGGAGAATTTCACAAACATTGCAAGAGATATTGAAATTCAAATAGTAAACAGCTTCAGTACCCCAACATGATTCAATCCAAATAAAGGAACTTCTAGACACATTGTAATTAACTTTGCCAGGGTTAATATGAAGGAGAAAATTCTCTAAGCAGCCAGATGTAAGAAAGGCATTACCTACAAAAGGAGAAATATTAGAATAACTGCAGATCTCTTAGCTGAAACCTTCCAAGACAGAAGAGGATGGCCATCAACCTTCATTCTCCTAAAACAAAACAACTTCCAACCCAGGATCCTATATCCAGCTAAAATGAGCTTCATCTGTGATGGAGATATCAAAAGCTTTACTGACATACACATGTTGAAGAAATATGCCATAAGTAAACCAGCTCTCCAGGATATTCTCAGACCCATCCTCCATAATTATCAGCACAATGGTCCACAGTCAAAGTAAATGCACCCAGAAACGTTTAAACAAAACCTTATTTCCACAGTAGGGAAAGAATTAAATATAAACTCTAGACATTTGAAAAACAAGACACCTAAAGCACTACCATGCTTATCAATTCTCTCAATTAATGTGAATGGCTTAAACTGTCCTCTAAATAAGCACAGATTGGATTTCTGGATACATAAACTCAGACCAGATATCTGTTGCATACAAGAGTCTCATCTTACATTAAAGGATAAAAATAGACTCAAGGT